CATCTATCAAAACCTCCACGGGCACAACACTAGCAACCACCTCTTACAGCATGTCTTCAGCAGGTGTTTTAACCTTCACTCAAGCTTATCTCGCAACCCTCTATTCCGCCACAACAGCCGCCGGCATCAAAGCCACCCTGACTTTGACTTTCTCTGCTGGCGCCCCCCTCCAGCTACAAATCGTGCAATGGGCTACTCCAACCCTCTCACAGACTTCCTTCACCAAACAAACTACTACAGATCTCACAATTCCAATCAACTATGCGGGAGTACCACAAGTCGCAGCTATCAAGGCTTTGAATGCAGATGGGTCGTACATGGTTTCTGGTGATGCTTGGACACAGTATCTGGGACCATTACAGCAAGCTCGATGGACCTGGGGCGCTTGGACGAGTAGTAGTGCTGGGCTGACGATTCCTGTTGCGGGATTGACTGCTATCAGTAGCTCTTCCCAGAAGGTTACCTTAACACTTGAAGTAAGTTTGTTCTAAAACTGGGCTGGCAATATTTCGCTTCCCTTTCCATATTACCCCTTCATTTAGCTCGCTTCCCGTTCAAGCACAACAGACCCAATACAATACTAATGCCGATATAGTTTTTTCCGAGAATCCAAGGACAGAACAGCGTGAATATAACATTCACATAAGCGTGGAATGACGAAGTGAGGTGGGACAGTTTGCAGCGTACATTGTGGCGTGCGAATACCTTGAATCATTGAACTTTGGTGTGCACATATATAGTTCCGACAAAGGGATTGAGCTGTATATATTTATAAATTGAATGCACATATTACTTTCTACCAGAACTTGAATGATTAATGAAGGCAGATCAATGGATGACAAGTTTAATCAGAAGTAATTTTCAAGCTCACCCTTTCCATTTGGTATCATCATCAACTTGATCTTTATTTACATGTATTGCACTATTGACATGCAACTTTCAAGATTTATACCAGTGGAACTACATGAGTTTAAAATTTATCCTCTTTTTATCTCATCGGCGCCAGAGAATCACCAATAAACATCCACCCCCACCAAATCCACCGCATAATCCACCAATCCTCCCGCCGCATTACTAAATGTCAAAACGTTACTCCCAGCTTTCCACCCACTAGTCAATACCCCAAAGATACCCGTGTCCTGCCATCCCTTCGTTCCAAATAGTTCAGAACTCTTCCCACTCAGTGGAAATTCTGCGCGTGTCACTACGCCATTAACGCTAATCGTCATATTTCTTGTATTAGTGCCCGTAGTCCACGATGTACTGAATGCGATATCATTATTGCAGAAGTAGACAGAGAGGTATTTTGTAGAAGCAGTGGCAGTAGATGTTGAAGGGGAATTGACGGTAATGGAAGCGGAGCCGCTGGGTGTCAGATACCCGATTTTGGTGCCGCTTGGGGTACAGTAGTTGGTGCTGCATGTTACGTGAGTGGCGGTGCCGGAGATACTCATGCTGGATGAGGAGTAGAATGTCGCGGGAGGAGTTGTGATGGTGAGGGAGGATGGGAGAAGAGTGGAGGAGGAGGCTATTGATAGAGTGTTTGTGCTGGATGCTGTGAATGAGAGGGAGCCTATGGCAAGGGAATTTGAGCCAGCGGGAAGAGTGTATTTCTTTGAGGCGACAGTGTAGGTCGTTGAGGAGGTGGATGTGGTATTGAAATGTAGTGTGGCGGTGTAGTTAGAGCTCGAGGTTTGGGCGTAAATCTTAGAAAATGTGATGTTTGAGCTACGATCAAATTAGTTGTCAAGCACCAAAGTTAAAATAAAAAAAGAACAAAGAATCACGGTGAATAAACGTACCCAGAGACAGCAGCGTCATCAGTAGCATATGTGCCCGCTGCAGTCGTCCCCCCGAGTTCCAGAAGCATCGTTCCATGGGCACCCACATTCGCAGACCACGAGGTCAGAACGTTCCTCGTACTAATATTGGCCCAGACATCCTTGAGAGTACCTGCCTTTTGCAGTCCCACATCTGGAAAATTCAAAGTAAGTGTTCTTTCCGTGTTTTGGAGATTAATGACCGCGACAACAGTGCGATTTCCACTTAGTGGCCCCGCCCATACTTCATATCCATCTGTTGTCCATCGTCTTCGGAAACTTGCTGCAACGCCCAAGCTATCCTGGTTGTAGCTTATAACATCTTTGTTACTAAGAACAGCCAAAGAGGCAGAGCTAATACTCGTCAACGGATCCTTTAATGCGGCTCCGATGACCAATGGACTTTTCAGAATCGCCCATAGACTAAAGTGAGTTTGTTCCTCAAGCGTGGTAAAGATATTATTCCCCACCTCCAACATATCAAGATCGAGCCAATGCCCAGGACCAGCGAACGATGTCTGTGGTACAGCCTGGTTCAAAATTCGTGAAACAGTAGGATAAGATGGAATAATATCATTGGTGATGCGCCAGGTGTTTCCCATAGCTGGAGCCCACGTAGAGGGAAAATCAACGCCCCAGTCGCATATTTGGAAAAGAATAGGTTTACTGAGAGTGGCTAAAGCGTTGGTCATATTCTGATATCTGAGAGATGGAGATGTCGAGGGTGCATAATTGGTGTTTGGGAACCCAGTTGCTGCATCGGAATAGCAGTTATCATCTGAAATTGTTAGCTTGAGACTTCGTTGTGTTGCTTTGAATGTGAAGTGTACATTTCAATAGATCTGCTCCCCATGATGCGAAGGTTTGTGCATCTGTCAGTTCGTGATCTTTTCCTTGTCAGCATTTGTTTTCCTTACATGAAACTTTGAATCGGGAAAATATTCCTAGAAGGCCTAATATTTCCACTGATTCTTTTGGAAATTTCAACCATAATAGCCAGTAATAAACTCACATAGACTTCCCACCTGTGCTGGAGTTCCAGTCATACACATTTGCACCCCAGAATCCGAATATACACCAAAACCCAAGCCCAACCCATGAATGAAAGTTCCCAAAGCTGGATATCCACTTGGAAATCGATCAGGATTCCAAGTTAATGTTCCATCAGAAGCTCTATCAGGCAAAGTCCATCCGCAATCCACAGTCACATAATGGTAACCGAGAGCAGAGAGACCAAGAGAAACGAGAGCTTGTGCGTTACTATGGATAATAGTCTCATTGGGAGAACAAGAATAATGGTTATAAGAGTTCCAACTAGTTTTGGGTTAGAAATGTCGAAAATGAAATCATGAGAGAAAGGGTATATCTACCCCATAGGTGGAGTGATGGCTAGACCATTGTTGATTCGGGGTTTGATATTTTGTGGAAGTGCAGTAATGGATTGAGAAAGCAAAGAGAGGAGCAGCCATTGCTGCCCAGAACAACTGAGAGAGCGCATCTTCAAAATCAAATCACGATAATTCCAAAAGACCAACATGAAAACTGCAGTTTGTCTACGATATTTCTAGCATTCATCTACCTCGGACTCTCGTAAGAGTCCCACACATGCAGCTTATAGTGTACCATTGAACCCATCTCTAGACTTAGAATTTCTCCATCCTAAGACATCTTAACCTTTTGCATCAATCAGGTACCAATATCGCAGGGTGATATGAGGGGTAAAATGGAGAAGGCGGAAAATTCTACAAGTATACCCCGCATCCTCACCGGGACTCGGATGGACGAGATGCGCTCCAATCATCCGATGAAGGCAATAAACTCCGGCACTCCTATTCTGACATATCGTCTTGGCTGGCATGTAGGCTCTGATGAAGATCGTAAAAATTCGTTCTTTGGACGTCATCAGTCATCCTTCTCCAGTATTCTAATCATGGAAGCATGCAGCTGGTGTTCAACACTCAGTTTGGCTGACTCGTGAGAAGTCATGTGGGTATGATGCAATTCATCCCAGACTCTTGGTAATTAGATATTATTTCTGTCAAATTCAGCTTTAGGAAATCTTAACAGATACTGCAGATACCTAGGTATTTATTTTCTCGTACTACACTACAACGTAACTCCCACCGTGCGGCCCAGCCCTAAATCCTCCATCCGTAAAACAACCACCGAAAGCCATGGGCATTACCAATGGATGCCAAGTTTCTCTTGACTTCAGCTATTAAATATTAATAATACAATGTCTCATCTTCGGACAGACCTCAGGCTCACATTGGAGTAACGAGGTTCACGCCCCTGAATGATAATTCCGACATTTCGTAACCGCCGTTGCTTCGTATCCATGTATATAGCGGCGAGAGGCACAGTGATGCACCCAGAAAGAATGCCCCTGCGTTCGTCTGACTTACATGAGATGAATTATTTCCCCTGCGTCTGACAAATGGAACTCTTATTTTGAGCTCCGGCAGTCTGAGCCTGATATCGCATTACACACAGAATGCTTTTCTCAGCCTTATCAGCCACCCAAGATTCTTTTCATAGTAGATTGTGATAATGCATAGGAATAATTTGTTGGTGGCTGTGGGTTGTACGCTCCAAGGTGTGTGATGTTGTGTAAGTTTGTGTAAGTGAAATTCTCGTAGTTTGTGATACCAAGAGAGAGGACTTCATTTCAAGTTATAAAATAAGAATCGAATTGTAAATTTGCAAATTCACAAGGAGCTGGATATTCAATTATAATGGAAGGTATGTCGAGTCAAAAACACATTGATTCAAAAGGTAATGTGAATGTGGAAGATTGGTGGCATTTATATTAAGATTCATCAATACATACCCCTTTATTCGACTTTTTTTTTACTGGATTTAGCCCTTCTCTTTAAAATATATACAAGAAATATGTAACGACATGTCCATCCCCCATGTCTGTATACAATTCGAATTTCTCCGATAATTTATCCCACCTAATGTGGTCGATGTTCTTTCTAATCGCCCACCATGAATGTCAACAATTCATATATCATCGCCGAATGGACTACTCCTACCCGTATTCCGTGCTAAATTAATCTCCCTTCAATCTTACAATGTGACAAACTACCTGCAATCATGCAATTATGCGATTGTTCCTTTCCCCAATAACTTAATCCCAAACGCCAAAACGCAACCCAATGCTTTACATGAGGGTCATTAAGAGAAGAAGAGCAGCGATGATAGTAAAAAGGCGGTAAAGATTGGGCCTAATGATGGTGATGTGTGAGATGAGAGAGATGTGCTGGTGGAGGCATGTGTTTTGTTGACATTCTTCATGGGTGTAGGACAGAGCGTGGTATTGACCAAAAGGGCGCCCGGCATCCAAACCTATTTTAAAAATTAGCAATCACAAACATTACGCACATTCGCTGAAACTATGTCGACATACCTGTGGCTCTCCATTTGTCAAGGTGAGGGTGAACGTTCCGCCGAATCCTGCGACAGTGCTATTACAACTCAAGATTTCAATGAGAAGATTTCCTTCGCTAAAATTGGTGTCTTCGATGTAGTAAGGTCCAACGGCCGCTCCTTCGGTACCGACATTGGTGAGAGCTGTGACGATCGAATGGACCATCCCTTTTCTAAATACCAATACGTCGTCTGTTTGTTTTATGACCGAGGCTTTGTATGCCCAATAAGGACTCCAATTAGAGTAATTGGTTGCTATCATGTAATTGTTGACGGCATTACGCGCGGTATTCATAGTTTTGATGTGTTGATACAGAACTGCGGTAGTATCATACCCAGTTGGATTTAGCCAAAGAGCTCCACGGTTTTGAGGGTCGTCTTTACCGTCAAGGCCTTGCTCGGCCCCGTAATATACAATAGGAATGCCGTCTGTAAAGAAGTCGAATGTAAGGGCATTTTTTCTTTGAGACACGTCACTCGTGTAGGATCCAAAACGAGCAACATCATGATTCTCACTAAAAGTACCTAGAAGTGTGGTATCGTAACAGTATCGTTGGGTTTGATCGAATTGGTAACTTAAACTTCCCATACCATTCGTTGAGTTTGAAAGAATAGATGTGATATAGTACCAGGCAGGATAATTGAGGACAGAAGAGAGAGCATCAACAGCCCATTCGCATGCATTGGTAGGCAGCTCGTCAAAGACCTCACCAATAGTGAATGTATTAGCGGCCTGTTGGAAGGCAGGCCAGAAAGGCTTGTCGACGTGTTTGGCGGCATCGATACGAAGGCCATCAACTAGAGTTTGGATTTATGTTAGCCCACTCTTGTTGCAATTGATTGTATTGTGCATTAATATTCCCCAGATTTTCCCCACAGCCAAGACTTCCAGAAGGAGCAAGGGGTAAGTAAGATTCATGATCAGAAGTACATACGAGAATAATTGGCGACCATTTCTGTTACCCAGGTTTCCCATGTCTGCTTGACAAAGTCAGATTCAGTATTCAGATCTGGCAATGAAACTGTATCGTCTCCCAGCCAACAATTTTGAAAGTTTGTTGCGTTTGAATAATCGGTAATATAACAGAAAGGATGGAAGTATTCTTTTTTGTTGAATGGAACCAGAGTGGAGTAATCGACTGCGCTCCCTTTCCCTGCGTAGGCCATGTCGTTAATAACCGCATCGATCATCAGGTACTATAGTGCGCACAGTTGAATTAGAGCTTATGTTCCACATGATTGAGTTGAGAATGTGAATGCAACTTACCATGCCACGATCGTGCAAGGACGACGACAAGAGCTTGAGATCATCTGGTGTTCCGAAATGTTCGTTGATCTTAGTGATATCTTGACTCCAGAATCCATGATAGCCTTGCCCATATTTCGTTGTTTCGTTGATATTCTTTACCACCGGTGAAATCCAGATCTGTGTTTGGCATCAAGTCAGTTCACGATGTCCAGGCTATTGGATTCTCCTATCTGCTGCCGCGACGATCGTACGAGACACGACAGAGAGAAGGATCGTTCATACGAAGAGCGCAAGGAGAAGCTGAGATGGACAAACTCACAGCCGTAAATCCCATGTCCTGGATGTAATCTAGCTGGTTGATAATTCCTTGAAAGGTCCCACCGCAATACAGTTGCGCTGTATTGTTACACGCATAGGTAGTCGAGCCATCCGTTCTTGCGAATCGATCCGTGATAATTTGATATATAGATTGGCTTCTCCAATCGTCTGAAGTAGCAGCGTGAACATCCTTCACGAAGGATGTCAACAACACCACCCACAACATTGACCAAGTAACGAATGCCGTCGAAGTTCTCCTCTCCGACGTGGTCAACATGATTTCTAATCGTGAACTCGTAACGCGATACCGCCACTATCTTAAATGTCGCATGTAAACAAAGAAGGCTGAACCCCCAAAGAAGAAGCTGATTAGATTGGCGTCGAGAATGTAATCAATTTGCTTTATCTGACGCAGAACACAATAACGAGTGACAATCGACGCAGAAAATTATCAGTGGTCTACTACGACCCGAGATAGAGAGAGAGGTAGGATTTCTTGGCACGGTGGATGTCCTGACGCTTGTACTTGATGCAGTCTAGCAGATAGGAGATCCTCCAATTGTACTCCCTAACAAACGGGCTGACTTTTCCGGGAACTGATTTGGAAGGATAATAGAATCAGGCTAAAATTGGGAGCGTGGACGGGGTGGTTGTAAAAATAAATTTTGGGGACATGGGAAAGGTATAGTAGGAGGAAGAAGAATCAAGAAGCAGACTGCAGTGCCACCAACATTACCAGGTACTTACCTACAATAATAGCAGGATTAAGGGTAATTATGGCGGGAAATGAATACCCGCGATCCACCCTACTTACCCAGCAAACGTTCCTCTAAGTTCTAAGCTTCTAAACTTCGATTTGATCATGTCAATCCCAAGATCTCCGAAAGTTCGCAATTCCCAATTCAGCAATTTGAACCCAAATTGAGGTGTCATGTGTAAAAGAAAGGTCTTGCTGAACTGGTTGAACGGCGTGGGGGACCTGGCAGGCTGGCACGTCCTTGATGAATTCGACAAATTAGCTGTTCGTATATGAACCACTTCTTAAGCCACTGTACCTATTTCAACGTGGATGGAAAATAGATCCCCGCCTCTGTTAATCTTAAATCCTGCACATAATGACTTGGCGGTGCAGAAGATAGGGGAGGTATCATGGATGGGAATTTTCTAGTCAGGGGTAGTGGCCACTAAGGCACCAACTACTGCGTATAATTAGTCCACATTGATTGCACTCTGGTCTGGTATTTTACTACTGAGGGGGGAAATCTCGGTGTACAAACGATACTGCTTTTTCTAGAATTGATTAATACAATAGTCGCATGATTTAGTAATATTGTTTGCTAAACTTCTGGGTTAACTTTGGTGATTTTTCACTGGAAATTGATTGAGCCAGACCGCCGCGCTGGCAATGGCATAGAGAATCGATATAAAGTACCCGTACCTATATCTGAGGAAGCTATCGCAGCCGTCAAATAGCTTTTGAGCTAGAATTGATCAGAGGACATTAAGCTTTCTAAAGTATTCCGAAGGGTTCTGCCTTCAGTACAAACTTTTGCTGAACATTCACTACAACGACCTACTAAAGAGTGCGGACGGAGGGACCGTAATAGTGTGGTGGTGATCAGGATAGGGGTTCCACAGATCAAATATCGCCTTCTACCAAGATTTCCTATAACACCTCGGACAAAATTCGATCTCTTCTTGCAACTTCTCCATTATTTCACACTCTCTCGTGTTCATCACATTCGACGCCCCTCTGTGGACCAACTCGATACATATACTCCGTACAGCCTCAGATTTCCATCATCAAGTTTAGGTTTGGCATAAGGTTTTTTTGTCTCTTTCCAATTTTATTGATCATCGATGGATTGATCATCATGATTCCAACTACAACGGTCAAATCCGTTTTCCATACGAGATGCAGTGGGTTGAAGTTCAAGGGTAGTTCGTCGGTAAGTATCTTTACTATTGTTGCATTGGATTTCGACATTATGAGGAAGTTGAGACAGATCGAAGCAAGGAAAGCTGCAGGAGGGAGAAGAAGAAGAAGAAGAAGAAGAAGAAAAATAAAAAGCAAGGTGAGCTAAGGAGAAAAAGACGGGAATACTGCAGACATGACATTTCATTTCTTTTAGCATTGCAGCATAAAATTTGCATAAGCTCTTATACATGCTAGCACTCCGAGTAATTTAATGCCTTGGTAATCTTGAGCAAATCTTCTTAGAGTTTCATTACTCGGCGAAGCTTTTCAACCGATTTTTATTACCTTGGTTCATTTCCCTAGTATCAACTATTTTTGAGCTAGAGAATTTTCTTGATTTGTGTAGAAAGCATTACAAAGCGGCATTGCGGTGACTAGGCTCGGCTATCCTGAACTCCATGATCCGGCAAGTCGTTTCCTTCTCTTCCATCAACTTTGCCTTGCTGGAACTCTTTATGGAGCACAATGTCGATTTTCTTAAACACCTTCGACTTTTACTTATCAAATGTCCGAAACAGGCCTCATAAACAAGGGAGCCGGTCAGGATTCAGGAATTCAGATTGAATCGTGGTTGGTGCGCTTTACCCTGCCTATCGATATTCTCCCGCCACACCTTAATTGAACGTATCATTCTGCTGCAATTTATCTCATCCCATGCTTATCTACAGACTACAACCGTCCTGGAACTTATCCGTCGCTGTTGATAGATGACCAATCCACATGCAGCGATGCACAGATATTAATGCAGAAACAGAAACATCCCATCTCCCATTAATGGCAACCAAAAAGGAATGAAAATTGACACATGTGGCATCTGAATTTATACCCAAAATTCCAATGGAAGCCTTGAAGTCCTTTACACCGCATATGAGTCAGGGAATATGGGAAAATATGAGAATGATGGTTAAGGGGCACAAACTTTTGATCTTTGGAGCTTATTTACAATGCGAAAACTTTTCACAGGGACGGATCGTATTCAGTCAACATTGTGTCCAATTATTGTGGATTATCGGTCGCACCCATCTACTCGCTTATTTGGCTTGACTTTTATGTCACGAATCGTACCGCTACGGAGGATTCTACCATACAAAGGAGAGGACAGCCGTTCCGCTCATTATTAATCATTACATATCAAGCCTAGCGCAGTATCTACTCTTTTAGTATGTACGTATCAGAATATATCTCTCGGAAAACAGCGTGAGAAATCTCGTATCTTCCTCTCGCCCAATTCCCAATCCCTGAATACCATATCCCTACACGGAACGATTACCCATGCTCGAAGTCCTCAGCCTTCTAATCAGAGAAACTTGATGTCTCACCAATTAGCCTTCCAGAGCCCCGGTATGTGGCTGTTCTTCACCCTTGCCAATTTCTCACATTTGGTACACAATTTCGATATTGGGTTACACCAAGCACCTGTGTTCAATTGTACTCTTTTATATCTACCGGCAAACAAGCTATCTCGTTGACTCAATGAGCCGGATCGCTAGCAAATATAGTGTGCGGATAGCTAGCTATGGCTAACCATTGGAAGGACGAGCCAGATCATTCACGTTTTTTTCTTAAGATCTTTACGTGATTCGGTAAAGTTCTGTGCGGCGTGGCATAGATGCTAAGTTTAATTGAGTTAGACGAAAACTCAAATTAATGCTTATACGGTGGTATCTAGAATGCCACATTAGGCGTTATCTCTCCAATTTTGTTATTATCATTGGTCGTAAACCACACACGGAAAACAACAGTGGAACTCGTGTTTGGGGGTTATTTATTTGAAAAAGATATTTAAGTAATGGATCAAAGTCGATCCCCACTACTTTACTCTCTGAGTTACTGGCCCGTCCAATGACGCCCGTATGGATTACCCCTGGCTCCCAAGATTTTCGTGCTCTCAACTAGCATGGCAGCTCGTGTCAAAATTCAGTTTACTGCCCTATTAGTCCCACTATGTTCTATTTCAGGATAGCTTACGATTAAAAATATTCCATCTTAACCTGGGTTGTAGGCTTTAGGCATCCGATATGCTCAGGATAGTAAGATCGACCTCTAGGGGGCAAGCAACAACACCGAGTTGTCCTTAGTCTTTAAGTGATCTTTTACACATTCACACTTCAGCCTCCTACCTTTCGTTCAAGTATCTCATCATAGACATATTACACTTTGTTTTTTTCAAACATCTTTTTCGTCAATCTGCGATTTGCGGTCGACTTTCACGCTCGTTATTTCTCATTCTTGTCCGCAAGCTATTCGTTGTAATTTTTTGGTGTTGAAGAACGGGTTCAATATAGGATCACTTATCAGTGGATATCATACGAGCAAGCTACATAATACCTGGGAATATTGGAGGAAACCTTCTTAATATCTTGCTGGTCCCGAACAATTCGAACTCCTGAACTTTACATACAATTCGGCAATAGTTGATGAAGAAAAATTCATGATTTTGGTCACTTGAATATCGTTTCTGGTCGGTTTCGTTTGTCACGATGTTCGCGCGAACTCTCGTTGCCTTGTGCAGCGTCTTGTTGAACACACAAGTCGATGCCTTACGCTACGAAGAACAGTTTGTGGGCTACAATCTGAATACAAATCAGACGGCAACATCACCCTTTGATTACTATGGAAAATGGGAAGATGTACGTGAAAATCCATGGCTCTTGGAGGGTTGAAAACTTCAGTGGTGGATTTTTGGAAATCCAGATGCACGTTGGCTAACCTATCTTTTCGTAGCATGAATTTCACAAATCTCCTGATAATTGGCGTTTTCCCTTCTACTCTTTCTTTCTGGATAAATTCGTGAATGGAGATCCAACGAACGATGATATCAATGGAACCAATTTCGAAACTGATTTCATGCAAACCCAATTACGACATGGAGGTGATCTACAGGGTCTCATTGACAGTCTGGACTATATACAAGGAATGGGAATAAAAGGAATCTATATCGCCGGAAGTCCTATGATCAATATGCCTTGGGGTGCGGATCAGTACTCTCCTCTGGATTTCAGTCTTCTCGACCAACATTTTGGAGATATCGATTTGTGGAGGAAAACCACCACAGCCATCCATGACAGGGGAATGTATGTGATGCTCGACAATACCATGGGAACTATGGGAGACTTGATTGCTTTCAAAGGCTATGAAAATTCTTCGACTCCGTTTACCCTCGTCGAGCACGAAGTTCTTTGGCGTAATGAAGGCCGCCAATATCTAGATTTTTCCTTCGGGTCGAAGTACAATGAGTCCTGCAACTACCCTAGATTTTGGCTTGACACTGGATATACCGTCAAGGAAGATGTCACTGACCTCATGAATGGATGTTACGATTCCGAATTCGATCAATATGGTGATACCGAAGCTTTTGGTGTCTTCCCCGATTGGCAACGTCAGTTGTCTAAGTTTGCCTCTGTCCAGGATCGTCTGAGAGAATGGGTTCCATCAGTGAGAACTAAAATCGAAATCTTCACTTGTATGATTATCCAGCAATTAGACATTGATGGGATACGTGTGGACAAAGCGACACAAATTACGGTCGATGCATTGGGAAGTTTCAGTCACGCATTGAGAGAATGCGCAAGAGGCGTGAATAAGACAAATTTCATGGTTACTGGTGAAATTACTGGAGGAAATACTTTTGGAAGTATTTACCTTGGGCGTGGACGTCAACCTGACATGTTACCGTCCAGTATGGCAAACGCGGTTAAAATGACCTCCAATTCTAGTTTGGCATATTTCATCCGTGATCCTGACCAAAACGCACTCGACTCTGCTGCCTTCCATTACAGTATTTATCGCACGCTGACTCGATTTCTGGGAATGGACGGAAACTTGGCAAGTGGTTATGATACACCAACTAACTGGGTAGATGCGTGGAACGAAATGCTTGTAACGAATGATCTTATCAATCCCAATACTGGAGTTTTCGATCCAAGACATATGTACGGAGTCAGCAATCAGGATGTTTTCAGATGGCCAGCTATCCAGAATGGCACACAAAAACAACTTCTAGGACTTTTCATTACGACTATACACATGCCTGGTATCCCTTTGCTCTTGTGGGGTGAAGAGCAAGCATTTTATGTCTTAGACAACACAGCCGACAATTATCTCTTCGGTCGACAAGCTATGTCTCCTTCTCAAGCATGGCAAACTCACGGATGCTACGCCCTTGGCAGTGGTACCTTCTATCAATTTCCCGGCGACTCTTGCACTCGAGGTTGTAATGATGAGTGGAACAGCCGCGATCATAGAGATCCATCTCATCCAGTTCGGAATATTATCAAGGCAATGTACCAGATGCGAGACAACTACCCAGTTTTGAAAGATGGATGGTTTTTACAACAGCTTTCCAACCAGACAGTTGAAATCCTCTTGCCAGGTAGTAACGGTACAGCTACTGAAACTGGAATGTGGAGTACCATGCGAAGTCAATATGATGGTATTCAGGACTTATCTAAAGCTGGTGGTCAAGCAAATCAGTCTATTTGGATGGTTTACCACAACAACTATGACACAGTCACATATTCTTTTGATTGCAGTAACAACGAAACTGCCCTCGTTGCTCCTTTCCTCGATGGCGTCACCGTCAAGAACCTGTTCTATCCGTATGAGGAAGTTACACTGAAAGCAGGACCTTTCAAGCTTGGGATCGCAAATCAAACTGGCTTCAATGGCTGTCTTGATAGTCTCACTCTTGTTCCATACGAGTATAAAGCATATGTGCCAAAAAAGAACTGGGTTGGGCCTTCGCCTATGATTACCTCATTTTCACCAGGACACGATGCACGACTTGTCTCATCAGTTGCCCCCGGAGAACAAGAAACCATCGAAATTGAATTTGGTTTCAGTGCCGAAATGAAGTGCTCTGATCTCATTTCGAAAATGACAATCACCTCAGCAACGGAAGACGGACAGGTTGCAACATTAGCCAATGCTACCGGCGAATACTCTTGTACTTTGCTTCCAAGTCCGGTCAATGTCACCGAATTCGTCGGATCCATTCCAACTATGTGGACTTTCAAAGGAAAACTTACCAATGTATCCAACGGTGTCCACTCGATTACTCTCACCAATGTCTCCAGCAACTCTGGAAATTCCTCAACTGGAGCCACAGATACATTTTTGTTCCGCATTGGACAAGTTGATAATCCTATCACTTTCCCCGGTTCCGCAAACTTCACAAGAGAACTACTTCACAAGTATGATAATGGCACATTATATGTTAGCCACAAAGCTGCTGGAGCGGATCAGTTTAAATATTCTTTGAACTGGGGAAGTTCATGGTCTGAATGGACGCCATATGTTGGTGGAAATACCACACTTGAACCACAGGCTTGGACTGGTACAAGCAAGCAAAAGTGGGACGGCGATCACGTCATCATGCAATATTGGAGCAAACTTACTGGTAGCAGTGATGTGGTTCAACATGCCGATCTAGAAACTAACACCTGGTCGCGTCGTCTTCCGCACTTGTTCGCTAATGGTCCATTCAACCAGTATGGTTATGATACTGGTATCGAAAATGGTTTCTCCTTAAACAAGGAAGACAGTCTCTGGGAATACAAGTTTATGACTGAATGGCCAGCCGGTAAGTTGTATCTTCATTCGATGTACTAAGGCACTCTAACAATATCTAGTCATGCAAGTGAATGTTTGGGGTATGAATCCTGATGGACAACCTGACGAGACTATCGTTTTGGGAGATATCGACAATGATAATATTCTTGACCGTATGCCACCCTCATCGCTGTCCACAGCGCTCATCAACATTACACGTGTGCCGCCATCACCATATCTCGGATATAAAATTGCAATCGACGACGGTAACTATAGATACTATCAAATCCCATACGGAAATCGTTCCTACCAAATGTTGATGGTTGTCCTTTTCTGGATTGTTCCTGTTCTCAGTGGTGGTCTCAGTATCTGGCTGTTCATGAAATCTTTCTACGCTGTCAAACTCAACAGTGTCGGTGTCAAGGAGGCAAAGAATTATATCCCATTGGCACTGCGCAGAAAGCTGAAGAGAGAAAAGAAAGAGGACGAATCTGAGAAAGAAATGACAGTCATGGGAGGATTACACTCAATGTTCCACGAAAACGCCACACAACTTGGACTTCAAGCCGATGTTGCAGCTACCGGACGACGAACTGTACTTATTGCTACTATGGAATACGATATCGAAGATTGGGCTATCAAGATCAAGATTGGAGGTCTTGGTGTCATGGCCCAATTGATGGGAAAGAACTTGGGTCATCAAGATCTCATTTGGGTCGTTCCTTGTGTTGGCGGGATCGATTATCCTATTGATCACCAAGCTGAACCTATGGATGTCACAATTCTTGGAAATTCCTACACTGTTCAGGTCCAGTACCACACTCTACGAAACATCACTTACGTTCTTCTTGATGCACCAGTTTTCAGAGCACAATCTAAATCCGAGCCATACCCAGCTCGTATGGATGATTTGGACTCGGCCGTTTACTACAGTGCTTGGAATCAATGTATTGCTCTTACTATCAAGCGTTTCCCTGTTGATTTGTATCACATCAACGATTACCACGGAGCCGTCGCACCAGTCCATCTTCTCCCAGAAACAATTCCATGTTGTTTGTCCCTCCACAACGCCGAGTTCCAAGGTTTATGGCCCATGCGTAACCAGAAAGAGAGAAGCGAAGTCTGTCAAGTCTACAATATTCCAGAAGAAGTCGCCATCAAGTACGTTCAATTCGGAGACGTGTTCAATTTACTCCACGCTGGAAGTTCGTATCTTCGCATTCATCAAAAGGGTTTCGGTGCTGTCGGTGTCAGTAAGAAATACGGAAAGCGTTCCTGGGCAAGATATCCTATTTTCTGGGGATTGAGTAAGATCGGTAATCTTCCTAATCCTGATCCTTCTGATACTGGAGACTGGAATGGTACTCAAGATTCGACGGGGAAGACGATTGTTAACCAGGACTTTGAAAATCAAAGAGGCGAGCTCAAAAGACAAGCACAGGAATGGGCTGGTCTTGAACAAAATCCTAAAGCTGAGCTCTTGGTTTTCGTCGGGAGATGGTCAATGCAAAAGGGTATTGATTTGATTGCTGATGTTATGCCTGCCGTTTTGGAGGAGAACCCAAATGTTCAACTTATTTGCGTTGGTCCTGTTATTGATCTTTATGGAAAATTTGCCGCTCTCAAACTCGATGTCATGATGACCAAGTACAAGGGCCGTGTCTTCAGTAAACCTGAGTTCACTGCTCTTCCACCATTCATTTTCTCGGGAGCCGAATTCGCCTTGATTCCATCTAGAGATGAACCTTTCGGTCTTGTCGCTGTAGAGTTCGGTAGAAAGGGAGCTTTGGGTATTGGTGCTCGTGTTGGTGGTCTTGGTCAAATGCCTGGTTGGTGGTTCACTGTTGAATCTACCACCACCACCCACATGCTTCATCAATTCAAACAAGCCATCAAGGAAGCCTTGGCCTCCAAATTGGAAACTCGTCAAATAATGAGAGCACGATCTGCTAAGCAACGTTTCCCAGTCGCTCAATGGGTCAATGATCTTGAGATACTGCAAAGTAAAGCAATCAAGATTCACGACAAGGAAGAGGCCAAACACTCTGGTAGACCTAGATCTAGAGGAAGAGATGGAGGAAATATTTTCTATTCTTCCGCTAAGAGATTGTCGAGTTTCGGTACCAGTTTGGCTAGTACCTCACAACTTGATGTTGCCAGTACCATTGGTGGCTCTACCAGGCCATCCTCGCCAACCCGTGTTGAACAGCCACCAGCCGGAGGTGGACTCAACCGCAAGCTTTCTTTGGGATACAGAGCTGGTCCTGGTCATCGCGTAATGAAGAACAGATTCAATGGTAGTAATGCATCGATCGGAATGGGTGGTCAAGTCAAACATGACGAAGGACTGACCGATGTGGATGAAGACAGCGATGATGAAGATGCCCGAGTTCGTGACGACATTTACGATGAATACGTACTCACCCCTGAAGAATTAGAAGCCCGAAGACAACAAGAGCAATTCAGAGGACGATCTGACAGTCCTGCCGGAGGCGCATTCCTCGCACCACAACCAGGATACTTGGATTCTCCACGAAGAAGTCCAAGTGCTAATACTGGTAGTCTGCATATCAATGACTCGGAATTGTCATTACCACGTCTCAAGGATGGCTCAAATATCTATTCCACTCACTCGATACCTGGTTCCCCTGGTTTGGAGTCACCAGGAACACCTGGAGCACACGATTCTTTGCTTCCTCCTCCATCGATATTTGGAGCCGGTGGTGAAAACAACAGAGCTTCCATGCTTAGTTTGAGTTCGGTCATCGGAGACAAGACAGATTTCAAACTTCAAAAGGTTGATCCATTCTTCACTGATACTCAAGGAGAATACTATCAACAATTTGCCAAGAATCTTGATGGTCTTGATGGAAAGAATAGTGAAGGACAACTGTGTATCGAGGAATACTTGATCAAATCTGAAAAGAAATGGTTCGACCGATTCCGTGATGCACGATTGGGAAGAAGCTCAGTCGCACCTTCATTCTCTGCCCTTGGAAGTGGAAGAAGATCTCACGACAGCCGTGGACGATCCAATAGTCGGGATAGCTTTACCAACGATACCATTACCCACTCAAGGCAAAACTCTAGTCAAGATAACATGGCACTCACTGGCGGAAATGCTCCCAATGATCAATTCTTACTCGGCAAAGATTATAAACCACCTACTGGTCTCCGCCTGGTCATGCAATACCGCTTCTTTGATTGGCCGGTCTATTCATTCTTGCTCGCCTTCGGTCAAATCATTGCAGCCAATTCTTATCAAATTACTCTTCTTACTGGTACCGTGGGTCAAACTGCAGAGAAACTTTACATCACAGCAACTATTTATCTGGTTACCTCGATCATGTGGTGGGAAGTCTTCTCCTTCTTCAAGTCAATCTACGTCCTCAGTATTCCATTCATCTTCTACGGATTGGCCTTTTTCCTCCTCGGTATGGCTCCTTTCGTTGACGGCGTTGATGGAAAGGGTTGGGTCCAGAACGTGGCTACTGGTTTGTATGCTGTTGCCGCTTCATCGGGTAGTATATTCTTCGCTCTAAATTTCGGAGACGAAGGAGGATCTCCCGTGAAAGCCTGGGTTTTCCGTGCCTGTATCATTCAAGGAACACAACAAGCTTATGTCGTCATTCTCTGGTTCTGGGGATCTTATCTCAACAGACGACAAGCTGATGGTCTCGGAACTTCCTTTACAACTGCCAGTCCCAAAATGTCTGCAGTCGTTCTTCCTATTGCGATACTTATGTGGGCGGTTGGTCTGGTCACTTACCTCGGATTGCCAGAATATTATCGACAAGCGCCTGGAAAAGTACCATCATTCTACGCCTCGCTCTTCAGACGTAAGATTGTCATGTGGTTTTTCGTCACTGTGTTGATCCAGAATTTCTTCCTCTCAACGCTCTACGGTCGTAACTGGCTTTATCTGTTCTCCTCCAACCATGCTCCTACATGGGCCATCGTGCTTCTCATCATCTTCTTCTTTGGGTTCTTATGGGCAGCCTTCCTCTGGTTCTTCGCAATCTTGAGTAAAGATCACAGTTGGGTTCTCCCAATTTTCGCCATCGGTCTCGGAGCTCCTAGATGGTGTCAAATGCTCTGGTCATGCACCCCAATTGGTCAATACATACCATGGGTTGGCAACGGACTCGCCAGCGCTCTTTTCTCCCGATCATTGTGGCTTTGGCTTGGTATGCTCGATGCACTTCAAGGTGTAGGATTCGGTATGCTGTTGCTCCAGACTCTTACCCGTGTTCACATTGCTTTCACGCTCATTGCGGCTCAAGTTTTGGGTTCAATCGCTACTATTGTAGCCAGAGCATGTGCACCAAACAACATTGGACCTGGACCCGTCTTCCCCGATTTTAGTGACGGGGCAGCTGGTCTTGGCAATGCATGGTTCTGGATCGGGTTGATTTTACAACTTGTTATTTGTGGTGGATTTTTCACATTCTTCAGAAAAGAGCAACTTAGCAAGCCTTAGAGCTATCTTGCATTTTATTTTTTGGTTAGACGTTGTTGCAACGGGTGCAGAGCAAATGGGATGGTGTAAATGCATGCAGGGTGGGAGGATGTCGTGTGCACGAATGAGGCGTTTTTATATTCTTTTTGTATAAAATGGTGCAGATTTGGACGGAATTATTGTATTTGGACATTACCCCTTTGGCGGGATGACTGAGTAAAGATTTTACACGATGGAAACGATACAGAGCGCGCAATATAGACTTTTGCTTTTTTAAATGTTCGCCATCGACGAACGGGTATTCGGTGGAGGGTTTGGGAGGAGAAACACTCTTTTTTTCTTGTGTATTTGAGAGTGGAATGGGCATAGTATACACTTGGTTGAGATAGAACTTAAAGTTTAATGAACTTGTCACATACACATATCGTACCAAAGTGCCTTTGAATGTTGAATAGCTGAATGGTTTTTACACTTCATTTTGTCATCGTCATCAAAAGGTTTAGGAGCGGTGTTTATCTTCTTGTCTTTCCAAAGCATTACCTTCAATCAACAAGGACACAACATCAATTGTATATATATCAAGGCATAGTAGTGCATTATCTATTTGTAAAGGTAGCCCAAGAGGGTATCTCAACGAATTCTCATAACATCCAGCAGAATATCTCTCTCTGGGTATGTTTCTTGAGAATTGAGTGGTGGTTTGGTTATGGACCTTTCTTTTTCAAGAAGCTAGACAGTTTAGAAGTAAAAGTAGAAGTGATAACAAACTCAAGATTTCTCAAATTACAGAGCAGAAAAAAGAAAACTTCCACTTTCGCTTATATATCAATCGATCGATCAATCCATCCATCCATCAAGCAAATATTCACTCTCCTCCCATCTAGCTACTCTCATCACAACATTCACCACTCCATCTCGAAAGCGGCGCAGTTTAGGCAGCCTTGTCGTGTGATATATTTCCTTGAGCATATCCACATTTCTGATCTTTCGCCGGACCCATCAATATTCAATATTGCATCTCCTTTCCCCAATCACGCGTAGCTGTACCTCGCCGCGCCGCACATCCGCATATATGCCCTGTCACAAAATCCTCCGTATACGGTCGTACCTGACATTTTGGTGTCTTTATCCGTGGTGTAACCTCTCTCATCCAATAATTTCTTCACTCCCGCGAGAAAACCAACCTACAAATTCGGTGAAGATGCTGGGAACCTAGTAATTACATCCAACGTTCTTCATCAGATTGTTTGGGATGAAAGAGCAACGGTCGTATGATAAACAAATGAGTTGTAATCTTGAAAATAAATCAAAAAACAAGCTTATCGATCAACCACTAATGACCCTGAATGCCCTTCCCCACCTTCCGCATAATCCGGCATCCATCTAACCTAAATTCGGAAGCTTAATTGTTTAATTTCGCAAAGTCAATTATGCTCCATATATGATATACTACTTATCCGTTTTATCCGCTTTGAAACTTGTGGTCCTAGGATAATGAAAAATCAAAATAGCCATGCTAATATCTATGCTATCTCGAGGCTATCCAATACCTAAACCACATTCGCAAAAGCAGCATTAACAGTCGGCACGGGAAATTCTATCCGAGCGCTAGGGGTGGTATATTAAGATAAAGGTCCGACAAGAACCCGCTTTACCTTAATCTTCAATAAGTACTAGGTAGGTAAATGAGTAATTAGTTAGACAAGTTGAGGCTCGGAGACTACGAGATAGTTTGGATACTAAAAGCGATAGCTAAAAAGAATGGAAGAGCTAGAGGTTAGAGAATGGTAGGCTACGGAGATATTCTACATCCTTCGCTTAAAATGTACCGATGTCTGGCTTTGGAAGAGATGAAGAAAGTGCATATTTCGTAGGTGGCTTGAGAAAATGCAGATAATTTACATGTGTTGATCGGGTAATGGAAACACGAGATTGATTGATTGATCTGTTAAGAGTTAAGAGGGTTAGCTATTGTTTGCTTGGAGACGGATGATTATCTGTTTCTGTGGATGCTATTCCGTAGTGAGGTGAGTGGAGAGGAAAGTACATGCTTTAGGTGAGAAATATTGGTATTTCTGTCTAGGTATCTTGAAATCTTGGTAGAAATTTATACGAGCAGAGCATTAGGTAGATATGCAGGATATCGTCCATACAATCTGCATCTCCAAATTTTCCATTGCATACACCAGACTATGGTGTACTTACCGTCTAGAACTCAGGTACTTTGTATTTTGCACTCGTCGCCAATTAATACCTACCTTACCTCGCGATCTCGAGAAAAAGCCGGACGCCAAACCCGCAAAAATAAAATAGAATTTAGAAACAGTTTTTTTTTAGAATTCGATATAAATTCAACTTTATATTATAATACTTTCAAAATTGAAATTATAAAATCGTTTATTAATAGATTATCAATATTCCAATTTTTATCAAAGAATTCAATTTTCTTGTTTTGATATTAAATTTTGATTAAGGTATAGAATTTTGGTGTCCGGCTTTTTCTCGAGGTCGCGAGCTTACCTAGTGCTAGTGGATGAAGCCTACTCCGTACAACACGAGAATACCTACTTCCCTAGGTACCCTCGCGACCCTTAGAAAGAGCCGCAAACTAGCACTAATAGTACCATATACAAATAATGACATATTCATTTACATATTTTCCACATTCAACAGCAAATATATTCCATTCCAATTCAATAAAAATCCCAACCAAACCAAGTCATCTCAATCTCAACCCATGCAAATCAAAAATAGTGATTATGAATGATATAACAAACAATATACCACAATTCTATCAGCAACCTCCCGCTATTTCCAGACTCAGACTCACAAACCACTAAATACATACATACATACATACATACATACATACATACATACATACATACATACATACATACATACATACATACATACATACATACATACATACATACATACATACATACATACATACATACATACATACATACATACATACCCTTCCTTACCCTTCCTTACCCAGCCAGCAAACCATTCCACCAAACTACCTATCTACCTACCTACTACCTCATCACGTATTAAAATCATTTCCCATCTTTGCTCTACACTTACACTTATACATACACATACACATTCTCCAAAGTAATCCATCCCCACGATTCACCCACCCAGCACAGCAATAAACCACAATTCACCCACACCCTCCCCTCTCCCCTCTCCCACTTCCCAATCCCCGAGTCATCTCGTGGAAACAAGGAGCGACGATATGCTCAAATCTCTCTATATATATACATATAATATTATATGTATTGAATCAATGAATTATTGAAATGCATTGTATGTACTCTTTCTTACCCAGAAATATATAAGTATTTATTTTCTGGTCTTGTATCGATGGGGTTTATTGATAATGAGAATAAAGACTTTCGGAAAGGTACTTTATACAAGGTTATCTATCTATCGAGATAGATTGCTTAGGAGATGGAATGGGATTTGGAGATAACTTAGGAAGAAGGAAGGAAGGAAATCGAGTATTGAATGAGGTATATGTAGATTGTAGGCAATGAATAGCAATAGCAACAAAATGAAATTTAAAAAAAGGAAAAGAAAATGATAATACCCACGATCTACAAAATTCCACGAATGAGAAAAAGGATTAGATGAACCTTATCCGAAAGAAATCACGATATCGATCTCGTGCGAAATTTTCAATGGGTTGATATTTGGAGTATTTACTATAAAGACGTAATGTAATTGCTTTAAAAAAAAAGCAAACAAACAAAATAGATAGATAGATAGATAGATAGATATGTTTGTAAATAGTTTAACAATTCCCCAACCCCCAACTCTATATCTAGTCTGTTTGATCTGACTCGGTATACAAATATAGAGATAGATAGCAATCTGATTCTGATATGCAACGTGTGTTCTCCCATCCCAATCTGTAACATTATATCATGAGCACTCTATGGAGTGTGTTATGTTCAAATCATCTTCTTCTTTGACATCGTTGGGGGGGGGTTTCTTTCCACCCTCTTGGTGTCTTTGAATATATCCAGATGATATTTCCTCACTCCCCCTCCTCTCTCTGCTCATCCTTTCTTTGTTTCCCTTCCAAGTTCTGCTATACACCTACCCCTCTGCTTCCCCTTTCTCATTATTTCCCATCCCTCAAATACCTCCTCATCTCATCCCATCCACCACCACCAAACCAAATAACCTTCCTCACCCTACCGCTCACCCCTCCCCCTAAGAATCACAAATAAAATCAAACTCCGCATTCGAACTCGTGAGCACCTGAAAGTTCGTCTGCGTAGCCGTTGCTCCCGCCGCTAAACACGATGCTGAGGTTGTGGAAGAAATTAGCTTTCTTTCTTTCTTTCTTTCTTGCATATCTCCCATCCCATATCCTCTTCATACAATCAACCGTATAATTGGGTTTGAACAGCTTTTGCATCTTCTTTTCCTCCTTATCCCCTTCTCCCTCTCCTCTTGGTGTGTTCATTCTTCTTCCTCGTCTCCTAAAATCGCTTCGAGTATGTAAACATTATGATAAACGATCCGGGACCAGCCCTTCGTCTATCTTTCAATAAATCTATCTCATAAACTTCACAAACCAACTCAATTCAAATTACCACCACCCCCCACTCACAAACCCGACATCAAACCCCTCTCCCCATTCCTCCCCTACAACCCTAACAAACCCCCACCAAAAACCCTCCGAAAAACAACGTCACAAAGCCAAAACTCCCCAGAAAAAACAACACCACACCCCTCAAAACCCCAAACAACCTACCCACCCAAATCCCATGAGAAGAACCCGCTTGTCTCTTTACCAAAAGCAATGATGTATGGTTTGAAGAGGAAGAAGAAGAATTAGAAGGGATAAACATACACTCCTGAGTTTGACAACCCTCCACACTTAAATCTGCAGCAGCTTTTGCAGGATTATTGGCTGCGTCGGCGCATTTGTTGTTTTGGTTGGCGCAGGATCGAGAGTAGGCGTCTGCGAATGCGGGCTAGAGGGGAGGGGTGTTAGTTTTTTACTTATCTTTTCGGGTGGAATGGCTGGTGAAGAGAAGAGAGGGTTAAACAGGAGAGGACAAATAAACGAGGGAGCGGAAAGAAGACAAATATCACAATAACAAAATGAGAATAATAGATATCCCCCCCTTCAATAAAAAGAAACCAGAAATCAAAAATCAAAACTCACAAAAGTATCACCCCCAACCATAAACGGTCTCGCATGATCCCCAGAATTAGTTATCTGTCCCAGGTTCAAATCAGTAAATACTTCTCTCTCATTTACCTCCGCCCATTTCAACATTCATCTCTCAATTCCATCCCAATCTCCTATAAGAAGATTTCTACAACGATAACCACAATCATAATCCCTTCACCCACTTCCCCTCCCCTCCCCAAAACCCATAACAACAAAACAGAGCAAAAAAAAGAGAAATACAAGCCTCTCAAACCAAAAAAGGAAACTACATACCGGATCCGCCGATACACCACCCAAAGAACCCGTGAAAATCTAAACCCCGAACAAAAAATGTTAGTTAGAATCCGTAATTGCGTATCTATGTATGCGATGGATTCCCAAATCCGTATTATATCTCCAGGAAATTCCATTCATGCACTTGCAGATATGTTTTGTTGACCCCGATTAAATCTCGTGTCTTTCTTTATATCACCTTTTCCTCTCTCTCCTTCTCAACCTCCCCCTCTCCTCATACCCCCTCAACCTCCTGCTCATCTATTCCTCTCCCCAAACCCAAAAACCAACATCAAAAACCAAACCCAAAATTTCCTCACCCATTCCATCACATCACATCAGATCACATCACACCAAAACCCCAAAACCACATACCTGCAAATTACTCAACGCCCTCCCCCACACCCCCTTAAACTCCCTCGCAAACTCTCCTTCCAAACGCGCATCCGCATTTACACTCCCACTCCCACTCCCACTCTCACTCGCACTCCCCATCTCATCCGCATACACACTTCCCCCCAACACCATCAAGCCCAATATCAGACTGACGCTGAACCTTGTTGAATTGTGGAATTGCATCGTATCGTCTTGTGTTGTGTTGTGTTTGTATATTTCTGATATGTGTATTTCAATATCCAATATCCAATATCCCAAGAACAACAAATCTTCTCAAATGTGCGTAGCGGAACCTTATGCAGCACAGCGATTAAATCCAACTTCGATTTCAATTTCAATTTCGATTTTGATTTCGAGCCAGCGCAAGCAATCAATTCGATTCGATTCGATTTTTCGGGACCTCTGGATTATTTCTCTTCTCTTCTCCTCTTCGTAGGTATCTATATCTCGATAAACCTTATCTTTCAATCAAATAAATGAATAAATGAATGGATAGATATACTCCGTATAAGCGTATATAAAGTTCCGTTGTGAAAATCCACCGTGAAAATCGCACTCAATCCCTTCTCTTCACTTCAACTCAAATTATAATTCCTTCCTTTCTTCCTTCCTTTCCAAAATCCCAAGAAAGAAATATTTCTCGTACCCTCAAATCGTCACTCTCACTCGCGGTCGTAAAAAATCGTTGATTTTGATTTTGATATTTATTGATATAGATGAATTCGATCGCGCGGTTGAGGTATTGCAATTATAATACCAATACCAATTTCAATTTTCAAGTAGATAGATAAATGGATAGACAAATAAATGGATAAATAAATAAATCATTCAATTCCTGAGTTAACCAAAACAATCAATCCAATCCAATCCAATCTCACCCAACCCTCCCCTCCAAAAATATAACCGCTCAGCTCAAATTCTCAAACAAGTTATAACCCCCTTCCCTTTTTCTCTACCCACACCATCCAAACCTCACCTCATCTCACCTAGCAAAGCAAAGCAAAGCAAAGCTCACACAGACACACAGACACAGACACACATCACATCACATCACATCACATCACAACAAAAACCCAACCCCAAAACCCAACCTCAAACCCCAAACCAAACAATTCCCCTCCAACCTGAGACCGCCAACTTCACAACCCAACCAATCATCAGCAACCCTTCCTCCCAAAAGTTTCATTGCAAGCACATCCCGCACAACCCAGTCTTCTCTCTCCCTTTTCCTGATCCCGTGTTTTCCCATGCTAGGTGTGAAATGAAACGTGGATGTGACGATGTGCGTTACATATATATATATATAAAAAAATGTATACAAATGTATATCGTATAGCGATGGAATATCAATCTATATGGATGGTAATCTTACACTATAGTAAATCATAGTAAATCATAGTAAATCAGCCGCTACCCCTCAACTTTTCAACTTTCCAACTTTCCAACTTCCAAACTATCATCAATAGATCAAATAACGTGGTTTATCAGTGAGTAGGTTATATCAATGAACGGATCATTTCGAAAACCACCTAAATCAAGCTTTTTAAAATATTAATATTTTAATAATTAATTATTATTTTCTTAAACAAAAGATTTTAAAAAATAATTAAAATCTAGTTTTTTTATTAATCTAATTTTTATCAAATAATTTTATATTATAGTCCCTAAAAAGAAAGGAAAAGTTGTTATGATTTTCATTATAAAAAATCTATTTTTATAAATAATAAGCTTAATAAATTCAAATTTCATAAAATCAATAAGATTTTAATATTCTTATATATTGAAATATTTTGTATCAAATTTTCAGAAAATTATATCTATAATAAAGAAAGTGTACAGTTATACACAAACGAATTTTGTATATAAAATAAGTGACTCATTCATTAATATAAACTATTCACTAATAAAACCACGTTATATAAATAAATAAATCAATAATGCAAATAAATCATCAAAAACACTAACGTGTTTTATCAGTGAGTAGGTCATATCAATGAATGAGTCATTTCGAAAATCATTTAAATCAAGCTTCTTAAAATATTAATATTTTAATAACTAATCATTATTTTTTGAATAAAAGATTTTAAAAATAATAAAATCTAGATTTTCTATTAATCTAATTTTTATAATGTGTTTATGAATGCGTAGTTCATATTAGTACATACATTATTGTACGAAAATCATTTAAAATCAAATTTCTTAAAATAGTAATAGGTTAATAATTAATCATTATTTTTTGGAAGAAAAGATCTTAAAAATTATTAAAAATCTAGATTGTTTTATTGCTCTAATTGTTAATAAAATAGTTTTTTATATCATGTTCTAAAAAAAAAAGGAATTGTTTACGAGTTTCGTTACAAAAAATTATTTCATATAATAGCTTTATAAATTCGAATTTTCTAAAAATAATTAGATTTTGAAGATTCTTATATAGGTTATATTTGTATCAAATTTTCAAAAAATTAAGATCTATCAGAAAAAAAGTGCAATAATGACGAAGAAACGAATTTTTTGTTATATAAAAGATGAGCTATTCCTGATATAACACACTCACTAATAAACCAACGTTATCTATGTATATAACATATAGTATATTCCTAGTAGATATCCTAAGTAAACAAATCCCCAAATTACGATCGTATAAGAAACGAATGTTCAATCAACCTATTCATTTATTCCTCTCGAATTACTATCTATCCATTACTACTAGATATTCGTCCTCTCATTCATTCATCCCAATCTAATCTAATCTAATCTGATCTTCTTTCTTATATACCTCGTTATATACCTCATTATACATACTCACTTAACATATACCTCCATCATCCATCCATCCATCCATCCATCCACCACCCACAAAACCAAACCCCTACTCTATAAACACCCTAACAAACACCCTAACAAATACCCTTCAACCCCTAGAAATCTACCCATTCATCTCGATTCGATTCCCAAAATCTCATGATAATCAAGCCACCACTGCCATCTCCCAACAAACCTCATCAAACCACCACTACTACTACCACTACCACTACCACTATCACTACCACTACCACTACCACTACCACTACCACTACCACTACCACTACCACTACCACTACCACTAACTACCACTACCACCATCCCAATTCCCAATTCCCAATTCCCAATTCCCAATTCCCAATTCCCCAATTCCTAATCCCAATCCTCAATCCTTATACAAAATACAAAATACAAAATACAAACAAAAACCTAAACCTCAACCTAAACCTAAATAAAAACCTAAATAAAACCTAAATAAAAACCTAAACCTAAACATAAACATAAACATAAATCGAAAAAACTATACTCGACTCTCTCTCTATAATCTCCTTATATCATTCCCTACCTATTGATTTATTCACCTCATTATCATTCCATTCCAAACACTATAAATCCAATTCAATCCAATCCAATCCAATCCATCTCACCATCTCACCATCTCACCATCTCAAATTCAACCTCAACCTACCATCAAAAACTTCATCTACCTCCACTACTTCAAAATACAACACAACACAACACAGCACAACACAATCCAAGCCTTCAAAATTCCCTCCTTATCTCATCTCCCATCTCCCATTTCCCTCCAATCTCCCTCTAAATACCATTCATCTTCCATCTTCTCCCCTCCCCTCCCATCTCCTCTCTCACCTCCTCTCCTATATCCTCTCCCAAATCAATTATCAAACCTTAAAAACTTCATTATTATATTATACTCTACTATACACTATTCTATCTACACCACACAATACAATGCAACATCACAACACAAAACCCTTCTTATGAAATTAAAAAAGTATTCTTTTCATCTCCTTTCTACCTAATCAACTACCTAACTATCTATCTACTATCCAGTATTTAACTAAATTTCTTCGGCGCTCACTCTTACTTTCAATTGTCACCATTTACCACTCACCACTCACTCCTCTCCCTCTCCTTTTCCCTCTCTCCCTCTCCCCCTCCTACCTTCCCCCTCCTACCTCCCCCCTCTCAATCCACGCTCGCATACAAACATGCACAAAGGTATCCATTCATCCACTCAATGCATTCTCCAACTACAATTCCCCGCAGAACATACAATAAAACACCATGCCATTAATATATATATATATAAACGCTGTAATAACTCAGGCCGTAAAAAAAAAAGAGGAATGGAAGGCATACAAGTGCTTTTTGTAAAACTCAAAACTCAAAATATAAAAATGCTAATGATGTTGGTGTTTACCAGTGAGGAATTCCATTCCATCTAAAATGCCACTATACCACACCACCTAAATACCCCATTGCAAAAAGGAAATAAAAAAGAGATGAATAATCTCTGACTCGCTGGCCAATATACTCCAATCTCCCATCCATCATGCATACATACATGCAATGCAATGCAAACCCTTATCCATCTGACATATACAATGAGGTAATTTTTCATCATGAAAAAAAAAAAACAAAAACAAAAAATGCCCTCCCAAAAGCTAAAAATCAGGAGATCATTGTTTAGAAGTTTGCCGAAACATTTCCTCTTCCGGGTTGATGATAACCTTCCAAAGTAGTTTGGAAAGGATTGGGTGCCACACCACCTTCATTCTTCATTTCGTGACCTGCAGATACTGGATCGTAACCTCCCATCAAACCATCATTCTCATCTTCCTTCTTGTTGCGTCCCCAGATTCTCCATGCGACAATGAATAATCCTCCGAGAAGAATGGCACCACCAATACCAACCACGACACCAATGACTGTGTTGCGTGTCTTGGTTGACATACCGGTGGAAGAGGATGAAGAATCACTAATGGGAACAGCGGTTGTAGTGGTATATGCGGCAGGAGTAGTAGAAGTAGTGTATTCCGAGGTAATGGTACTTCCACTTGATGTTGAGACGACGGTTACGACGACTCGAGATGCGGATGGGGTAATGGTGACTTCAGAGAAGGTGGTAGATGGAACGGTTGATGACGAAGAGGTGGAAGTCTTGCTACTCTTGGTGTTAGATGTTTTGGTGGCGGTTGTCTGAGTAGTTTGAGCATCTTCAGAAGTTTGAGCAGCAGTGGTTTGGGCAGCAGTAGTTGCTGAAGATGTTGTTTCAGGAACGGAAACGGGAGTTGTTGCTGCTGAAGTTGTAGGTGCTGCCGTTGTAGGTGCTGCCGTTGTAGGTTCTGCTGAAGTGG